TGGCCACAATTGTGGCCAACATTTCTGTTGTTAAGCGAGACCTTTGTTAAGTGAGTTTTGCCCCATTGTATGACGTTTCTTGCCACAATTGTTAAGTGAATCGCTGCAGTTGATAAGTTAGTGACCTGGTTGTTAAGTGAAACTGGCTTCCCCATTGACTTTGCTTGTCAGAAAGTTGCAAAAGTGAATCATATGGCCTTGGGACACAGCAAAGTATGAACCAGTTACCAAGCATCCAAATTTTGATCAGGTGATCATAGGGCTGCTACAAAAGTATGAAAAGTGGTCATATTGTTTTTTTCAGTGGTGTTGTAACTTTGGTCATTAAATGAACTGTTCTAAGTCAAGGACCACCTCTATATGTATAAATTAACATCAGGCAGTGATTGTCCCCCCCCTCCATAGTTTTTATTCAGTTGGATACAAGAGAATGCTTTAGAAAACTTTTCAAAGAGAGGTGGGAGAATTTCACTGAAATTCTCACAATTAAAGGATGGTGTACACTTACTTAGTTGCAAGGTGATTGAGTCATAAAGACTTCCTTACCTGTACACTCCTCTCTCTTCAGCTTCCCTGCAGCTTATCTGGCTTCTGATATGTCACTTAAATCTCAAGGAAGGAATGTGGACGAGAATGGTTTTTTTCCCTTCAGTAATTATTGTAGTGCCACCTAAAATGGGAAGAAAATGTGACAATAATTATTTCTCCCAATCCCTAAAATATCTATAAGTCATCCAGTCAGCTTTTCATACCAATTTGATAAGGTCAAATTGGTATGAACTTCATAAGGTCATTTGTGCTCAGTTCTAATGTTAATATTATTCCTAGCTTCCTGCAAATTTGAAGAAGCAAAGGTCCTCTGATCCTTTAATTATTGATAAAGGTGCATGAGGAATAGTAAAGCAAGATGATTAACAGAGAACTCTGCAATTTAAAATATCACAGATATTCTGGTCAAATCCAATCTATCCAGTCCCAGTCAAGCCAATCAAAACTGTAAGATCCTCTACTGCGTTGTGACTGCCTGTCTGATTGTTGCTATGTATTTTGCAGTTTATCTATCAATTCAGTTACAACCCGAATGCAGTTAGCAGTACCTAGAATAGTTGGTATAGGCAGTTATTAGCAACTTCAAGAATTAAAACTCTACCTTGTTTTGGATTTGAAGAATCTTTGGAAAAGATCTTCAGAATATTGTGAAGATAGGGGGACGGAGCTCAAATAGCCCCCACCTGAAGTGTCTTAAAGCAGATGCATCTTTTCACTGGCACACACAAAGTCGATACAGCTAGAGCTCAATCTAGTAAAAGATGTATTGGATCTAAAGAGTTGCAGACTGATGCTACATAAATGACCCTGCACAACCCATGACACTTTCCCTCCCTCTTTTGAATGCAAAATGCTGTGTAACCCTAGACGGATAAATCTTATCTCCCTTTGGATTTGTAAACTGGTTGTATTGACCTTTGAATATGGCAGCATAACTCACATGCTCATGAGTTCTAGAATAGCCTGCTGTAATGCACTCTACATGGATCTACCATTGGAAGCTAGCCACAATGGATAAGAATGCACTGGCCAGCCTTTTAGTGGGTGAGAGCCATTCAAGTGTTTTAACACTGATTCTACAGAAATGCATTAACTTCCAGTAGGTAAAGTCAAGAGATAGGTTTTAACCTATGTTAAAGGTCCTTTGGGCTCAATACCTGCACATCTCCAGCATCTTTTTCTTCAAGCTGAACCATCTATCTGGTCCACCTATGGCATGTTGGGATGCTGAGAGTTCTTCTTTTCTCCATGCATGTAATTCAGATAGAATTACAACAGATAGAAGACAATGTTTTTCTATTGTTGTTTCTTCTCTGTGAAACAGCTTGCCCCACTCACGGGAATCTGGATGGCACCTCTCTTATAATGCTTAGAGAGGCAGTCAAGGCAATAATTCCTCATGGAACTTTCAATTTTTAAAATTGCCTTTGAATATTTGAGGTGGATCAGTTGATAATTTTATGAATTATACATATGTGTCATTGATTTTACCTGGTTATATTGTAAACCACCAAGAGTGTTTGTGGAGTGTGGTAATAATTATAACGAAGTAGGTAAACAAACAAATATCACCCATCTGCTCTTTCCTATAAATGTATGCTTCTATCTCCTGTAATAGTTTAACTGCAGATGTGATCTGGGATCTCTCGTCCTCAATGGAAACAAAATATGCCAACTCAACATCTATGCAAGAGAAAGAATAACTATAGCTTTGCTCTTTATTCTTAAGTCAACTTGAACAGTAGCTTTTGTTATATATGGAACACCAAATTTGGCTGAAGAGTCACCTGGCTGCAGCAGAAACCTTTCTTTTTTTCACTGTAGTAATTAAGAACACATCCCATAGTTGCATTTTGTGATGGTGCATACTGTTCTAGTCTGGAACAGCTCATTGGCTTCCAGTCTTCACCCACAGTTGTTCAAACTCAAAAGACTAGTAGTCAAAAATTCAGGGATAGAATTCTAATTTTATTACAGATAAAGTTACAGATAATTTTACTACAGATACTAGAAAAGCAATAATTAACAGAAAGCTAACAACTGCCAACTGTTAGCTTATATGTATGTATAAACTAATCCCAAAACTTTTGTTTTTTCCTACTTGTGTATCCTAAGAAGCTGAGAGCCTATTGTTTGTCAGCAGGAAGAAATTGACATCTCTGTACAGGTAGTTCTAATTTACTGATTGCCCTGTTTAGTGACCTTTCAAAATTACAAAAAATGGGGGGGGGACTTTCCAGCCAACACCTCCGTTTTTTTTAATTTTTGCAGTGTTCTTCAGTCACATGACCACT